AGAGGGAGGCTGTGCACTGAGCAGAGGGAGGCTGTGCACTGAGCAGAGGGAGGCTTGCAGCACTGTGCTGGGACAGGGGGACGCTGCTCACTGCTCAGCAGGGCAGCAAGCAGCACCATCAGCTGGCAGGAGCTCAAGAGGACTGGCTCGACCCCAGCTTAAAGCAGCTCCAAGCCTCACTCGTAATCCCCACCTATCCTTTTATCCCCCAGCAGCCGCTCCTCCGTCCTCAGGGTTTCTACTGGTCAGGAGGGCTGCGGCCAAGAAAGGGCAGAGGGATCCCTGTGCCTCACACGTGTCCCCAGGAGAGAGAGCCTGCCACGCAGCTGGGGGGGCCCTACCTCAAGCATGACAACGCAGATCTGTTTGACGCACTCAATGATGGACTGTGGGATCCCAGCAATGGTGATGGCTCGCTCAGTCGAGTTGGGCAGCATGTCTCCTGCCACCTGGACCTGTGCCCCCGTGCTCTGCAAAGTTTAAGGATAAAAATAAACGGTCAGACCCGGCGAGGACAGTGAGCTCATTGCATCCAGCAGCCTCGTGGCCAAGTTATACATAGCCAGAAGTGCCCCCCTTCTCCCTCAAAATAATGCCTTTTAATCCTAGCTGGAAATAATTCGGTCAGGAGGAGGAATCAGGCTGCGGCCTTCCCCTGCAACCCAAGTCAAGCCCATCTCTGCTGGGAGCAGAACCGGACAGGGTTAATCCCTGGCAGCCAAGGGTCAGTGGCACTCAGCACTAAGCAGCATTACATGCCTTTCTCACTGAGAGCTGGGGGCTTGGCAGGCTGGTGGCATGCATTCCCCCCCCCCCCCCGGCCAGCTGGGAAAAAGCCTAGGGAAAGGAATTGAGAGTAGCAGGAACCCAAGCATCCCGCTCCAGGGGACAGTGCTGGGAAGGGGAGGCTCTGACCCAGTCTCAGTTTCACAAGCACTAAAAATACAAGGAGCTTTTTAAAAAGGGCCAGATGATGCTGCCTCTACACTATGCAGGTCAACTTATGCAGGGCAGACCTAAGTTCTTGCCCCCTCCGCCACGCACCAGGCCCTGCACACCGCCAGCAGGGCAGCCAGCACTCACCTCTCGTATCTCCTTGATCTTGCAGCCTCCTTTTCCAATCAGGGAGCCGCACTGGCTGGCAGGCACCACGAGCCGGAGGGTGACAGGGGGCCGGCTGGCAGCTGTGCTGTTGGTCATGGAGCTGCTGATGTCCTGTGAGGAAGAGGAGTTGCTCAGAGGGACCCGTTTGGGGCAGGACCCTCACACCGGAGGGTCTGGTTTTGTTTGTTTGTTCCAAGTTGACACCCGAACCTCCCAGATCCCATTTTTCAGGGCTTTGTTAACGTGCTGGAATCAACACAGCCACGTTTTTGAGGTGAAAGCAGCCCAAACTCCGTGGCTTTGCTCTATTGGTGAAACGGGGTTTTTAATCCCCACCAGCCCAACGCAGAGGCATCGGGTCAAGCCGCAGCCAAATGGGAATCAGCTGTGCTGAAGAGATGAGGGGCTGGGGGCTCAGCCTCCCCCTGCAGACAGCTCCCAGTTCAGCTCCGAGCTGTAATGGGGATGAAAGCTCAGTGAAAACAAGCTGGGTGCTGATTAAAGCAGTCATACGTGGGCAGGGGGAGGGGAGGCACACGGCCAGGCTCAGCTGACCTACTAAAATAAAAGCTTTTGCTGAGCCCCAGGCAGCGAGAGCCAGGAAGATGTCAGCTCCCAGGACACAGCAGCAGTTTGGGACTCACAGCTTTTTGGGCGTTCCCATGAGCACAGGGGTTTGATGTGTTGACAGGAAGGGGGTCCTGAATCCAGAGGGATAAGGCAGCAGGAACTTTGCGCCCCACAAGAGATGGAAGGGCCAAGGAGCTTCCGAAAAGCCCAAAGCTCCTCACATCACAGCCCTGACTCCCATAGCTGGGATTCAGATCAGCATCCCACTGAGAATCAGCAGTTCTGCAGGAGCAGGGTTGGGATGCAGATTGTCCTTCAGTGCTGCAGGACCCCCAGACCCCTCCTCAGCAGGGCTGGATACCGGGCTGAGCCCCCACTGCACAAAGAAACACGCAGGCAGGGAAGCAGCAGGGCTGTCCAGAAGACCAAGGGAAGCAGGGATTCAAAGCCCTGCTCTGTCTGATGCTGTTTTAGTGGTGTTCACAGGGGGTTCCCAGCCCTGGGCAATCACCACAGGGCCCTGATGTTCAGCAAGCAGGTACTTAAGGTTGGCTGAGCACTCAGGAGGGAAAAAATCATAGCTGGACCCTGGAATCTGCTCAAGGAAGGGCAAAGATCAGCCCCTGCTGGGAGAACACTCCTCACCCAGGGGGAGGGTAATGAGGTTGTTCCAGCCTCCCAGGAGCTGTGGGGCAGACCCCAGCCCTGCACAGCAGCTCCACAGGGCAAATTTATGCAGAAAAATAAAATAATAATAATAACAAAAAGTTGAGGACCATCCCTACAGCACACAGCAGAGGCTCAGGGCCGAGACGCACCTCTTCCAGTTTGTCAATGATCATCGCAAAAGCTTTGAAGATGGCATTGGTGGGGCCGGCAAGGGTGATGATCCGCTCGGGGCAGTTCCCTTCTGAGATGTTAATGCGAGCACCACTCTGTGGGAAGGAAGCAGCGTGGGACATCAGGGCTCTGCAGAGCCACGAGGCCGCCCTCCTCCCTCGGCTCAGCGCCCGGCAGCCATCTTAGCCATGCTGGCTTCCTGCCCCGGCCCTGACTACATCTCCCAGCATGCCTTGCGCCCGCCGGCTCCATCTGCTGCCGGTGCCGCGCCGCCAGAAAATTCCTTTCAAGGCCGGCGGCGCTGCGGACCCCTCAGCCCCCCCCCCCCCCCCCCCCCCCCCCCCCCGGGCCCCCCCCCCCGCC